ATGGATTCCAGAACATAATGGAATTAAAGGAAATGAAATGGCAGGAAGTTACTAAAAGTAATCATATCGATTTTACAGTTAATATCAGCAGGACAGAAACCAAGAGCATCATTAAAAAGAGATTGAAGGAAATGTGGCAAAGTCAGTGGGAAGAAACAAGAAAAGGTCAATGGTTTCATAAGAGTCAAAAGAAAGTGGGAGAAATGAGGTATAAATGGAGGAATAAGAGAGAAGAAATTATAATATCGAGGCTAAGGTTTGGACATACTGGGCTAAATGAAACACTGTTCAAGATGGGTAAACATAACACAGGGAAATGGGATTTCTGCGGGCAGATAGAGACAGTAGAACATGTTATGATGTACCGTCAGAAATATGAAACATAACGAAGACATTTAATCCAAAAATTGGGAGAGGAAAAAATACGATTTGATTTAATAGATATTTTGCGGAAAGAGTCAAAATATATGTGTTATAATATATTGTTTCAATATCTTAGAGAAACCAATTTAAGTGGAATGATATAGTTTTTTTTCTTTTCTTTTTTTTAAACAATGTATATACACGACATTCTGGTCCACACTCCATATCAGATGGTGGCGGTAATGCACCAGCAAGTTGTTTGCCAACCACCAAAAAATCTTAATAGAAGAAGAAGAGGATACTCTTAATGAATCACTCCAGATGATAGGAAGACATGAATATGGTCAATGTAATCACTGTGGACTTCCAGAAACTGTAGAGCATGTGCTGATTAACTGTAGGGCATATGAAAGGGAAAGAATACAGTTAAAAGAGGAATTAAAATCTGCTGGCATTAATTCTATGACATTACAGAATGTGTTAAACAGTTCTCATAAAGGTTATAAAGCTATTATTGATTTTCTGAAAAGAACAAATGTATATAATAAAATATAGGTAGAAGGAATTTTTTTTTTTTTTTTTAATTAGCATTTCCCTTGATATCATCGCCTCACACTCCATCCCAGTAGGTGGCGGAATATGCACCAAAAGCTGGTTTGTCAACCGCCATAAAACATCAAAAGAAGAAGAAGAAGAAGAAGAAGACGAAGGCCTGACACCTAAGCCGGGAAGCAGGGTGCTATTTGTTTATTGGCTATGTTGAGAAGGAACGTCTTGTAGATTTACTTACCAACCAGGACTATTTTTCACTTGCACTTTGGAGTAACACATTTACTAAATTGTATATACACGGGTGGACACTTTGGACTATTACGCACGGATTGGTGTTGGACTGTTTTAGGGTATGAAAGTCTCTTTTAGTAGTCTGACTATTCTCAATGTATACCATGTTGTTTTAGTTCTGTGTCATTGTTTTGTGTAAATACATTACTGTTGTTTTATATCTGCATTCTTAATGTCTTTAATCTGCTTACTCAACATTTAAACATTTTAAACAATTAATTGTTTTAAAAGCTGTGTAGCCTCAGCTAATAGGGCCGAGTGTTACAGTGTACTGGATGTACTGGAAAGTGTGTACTGAAGTGTATTGAATGTACTGGCAAGCATTTATGGTAAACTAAAATATACTTAAGTGTCATTTCTATTGAAATCCGTGTCATATATTTAAATGTATTTGTAATTACACGTCTGTAATGATGAAAGTGCAATTAAGTGTATATATATATATATATATATATATATATATATTGTTACATGCAACAAATTGAACAACTAAACGTAACATGGAGAGCGATGCCCGTGTTTCAAGGGTCGCCCGGATTTCCGTCTCTTGCTCCCACAAACACACACACAACACATTGAAATCTATTCAAAACAAAAAGGAGGTTTATTTTGGCGTTTCTAAGTTTCTTTCTCTCCATCAAGGGAAATACACGTAGCTCAGACTCAGTGGGTTAGTCGGCCCTAAACAACAAACAAAAAGGGTTCTCTTGCTAGTTTTAAAAATAGTCTTCCCTATACAAAAGAACAAAATAGAAGTTACAATTCTTACATCCCTCCTAGCCAATAAACAGGAGAAAACTAATAGTAAAATAAAAAGTGGGCCTCCCACTACACACCACAGTCTGATTAAAAAGGGCACACCACTGATACATTTAACATAATGGGGGCTTGTCCTCAAGAGTCACAATTCTTCTGGTGAAAATAATCTCAAGTTTGGTGAGTAACTGAGATTTTTTTTCTCTTGTGTAGATAAGAGAATTTGGGTGAGGGAGTGCGTTATGGAGGCTGATAACCAAAGCTTTTATTGATTCTCCCTCTGTGGAGCAGTTAAATCGGTTTCGAAAGAAAGAGTTTCTGCAAATAGCTGAATTCTTTAAAATATCCATTTCGTCCTCTGCGAGGAAAGCAGAGATTAAAACAGAAATCGTCTCCAAGTTGATTTATCTTGGAATATTACTGTAGGAATCGTTTGTTCCTCCTGTGCGCAAATTTGATCCTGTTGTGGCACTGAAATTGAAAGAACCTGAGTTAGAAATTAAACTGCAAGAGCACAACACGCATGGTTCGTTTAACTAAACAAAGGAGCACTCGAGAACAGCTGATAGTGAGCAAGAAGGTTCGGGTAGCGTAAGTCAGTTTGATCCTAGCTGCAACATGAAACTCGTTCCCCAGTTTAGAGAATCTGAGGTGGACACTTATTTCACCACTTTCGAGAGGGTTGCGGGTAAGTTGTGTTGGCCGAAAGACATGTGGGCGGTGATGTTGCAGAGCAGCTTAGTGGGTAAGGCACAAAAGGTTTGCTCTGCCTTGCCCATTGAAGATTCGCTTGAGTATGACATTTTGAAAGCCGCAGTTCTTAGAGCGTACGAACTCGTGCCAGAAGCTTACAGAAAAAAATTCAGAAGTCATACCAAATTGCCTTAACAAACTTTTCTTGAGTTTGCTTGTGATAAAAGAACAATGCTACAGAAGTGGTGTATTGCGTCTGAAGCGACTACGTTCGAGCGCTTCCAGGAGTTAATATTGTTAGAGGATTTCAAAAGTTGTCTTCCAGAAAATGTAGTACTATACTTGAACGAGCAAAAAATTTGTTCCTTGTCTGCAGCTGCGGTGCTTGCTGATGAGTACGTACTAACTCATCGAACTGTTTTTCCCACCACCCATCAGAGTCAAGGTTTTAAAATGAATTCGGAACGCGGCACTGAGAATGTGATTGCTGATACGCTGTCCTGGGCGTATAGTGCTGAAAATGTAGAGTAAATGTTGTGATTATGGCTGTGGTAGCATAATCTTTCGGGAGGGGAGGAGTGTTACGTACTTGAAAGTGACTTTTGTGTTTATTTTTGACTTGAGTGACTTGGTGCATATGTGTTGGTGTTCTCTCTCTCTCTCCCTGTTCCTCTGTCCTAATGCCAGTGGTGTAATGCAACGAAGTCATAATACTTTGTTACAGTACTTAAGTATATTTTGGGAGTATCTGTACTTTACTTGAGTTTTTATATTTCAGCCAACTTTTACTTTTACTCCACTACATTTCCTAATAAAATGTATACTTATACTCCGATACATTTCCCCGAAGTATATTCGTTACTTGCTAAATAGTCAGAAGTCAGAAGAACACGGACTGCAGGAAAGCAGGTTTGACGAATCAGTGGTCTGGCGTCTGCCAATTAGACTCATGCTCATGTGCAAACAAGTGCGCGCACAACCGCGGATGATTCATTTTCACTCAAATCGAGTCTGGGGTGTGCGATACAGCATCGTCTGCGATAATATGGTAAGTGTTGTTGTAATGATGTGCGATCTGACATTATCAAGTA